TTTTTTTTTTCTAAAGCAAAGTAGCCTGTAATGGAAAGGCCAAAAATTCACTGCCAAATATATCCTTTATTAGTTTGATAGCAGAAGGATAACTGGAAAGTTCACAAGTATGTGGAGATTGAACAACACACTCTTAAGCAACCATTGGATCTAAGAAAAAAATTACAAGGAAATTAGAAAATATCTTCAGACAAATGAAAAAGTCACAACATACCAACACTTATGGAACAAAGCAAGGGAATTACTGAGGGAAATTTATACCTATAAACAATTCCATTAAAAAAGAAAATCTCAAATCAACAGCCCTTCTTTATACCCTAAGAAACTAGAAAAAAGAACAAACTAAATCCAAAGCTCACAGAAGGAAGTAATTAATAAAGATTAGAACAGAGATAAAATAGAGAATAGAAAACAGTTGAGAAAATCAATGTAATCGAGAATTGGTTCTTTGAAAAGATCTACAAAATTCATGAAACTTTAGTAAAACTGATTATAAAAAACGTTTGTTTTAGATTGAGCATTCAAAATGTCTGGCCAAGGTCCATTCTTATTATTATCGATAAAATTAAAATGTTATGAAAAACAATAACAAAAAAAGACACAGGACACATCATTATTAGGTGTGCAAATTTATTGTGTATGTAATTGCAAATGTCATTTCTGTGACTAGAGACATTGGCTTTCCACTAGGGACTTGCCGTGATTTCCCACCTACTACAATTGATTTTACTATCCAGGGAAATTTATACTCCCAGAATTTGGAGAGTGGAAAAATTCAAGAACAGCATTGCTTAGAAGAGGAAAGAAAATACAGTAACACATTTTGCAGAGTTCATTTCAGTTCTGTGTATGTAAAACAACAACAAAAATACTTCTCAACATGGGTTTGTAAATATGAGTGGGTTAATGAACTTCTCTGTGGAGGTGGTATTTTCCCCCAAAACAAACACCATACTTTTGACAGATCATAAACTAAGAGTCAGAAGATAAGCATTCTTGTTCTGATTCTGCTGTTCCAGCATGAGGTTTTAGAAAATATAGTTAAATATTCTGGCATTAAAATTCCTCATCTGTACAATTGTGGCGTGGATCACAGAACCCCTATTTCTTCTTCTGATCCAAACCTATGTTTCTGTTTTATAAGAATTCCTACTAGATTCTTCAGTTACTGTTTCCCCATTCCCTTTAGTATAAAGGGTCAATTACTTTAAGAGTAAACTAGTCTTTGTTGAATTAATTTAGTACAATTGGATGGTCTTCTAAGTATGCAGGTCACATGCAACTCAAAAACTGCTTATTTTGCATTCTTATAATTAGTACCTAAAATCATGAAAAGGAACTTGGATTAAAATATGGGCTAGTGGCATTTTGCACTTCAAAAACACAACTCTTGACTTCAGTGGTCTGATTCAAATAAGAAAACCTGAATCAATGTCATATGTACTATCTTAATTACAAAATCAAATAATTTAATAATATAATGATTAGTCTAATTTTAAAAGAACTCAGCATACTCTATTAAAAGTGTCCAGGTTACAGCTTTTACTAGAGCAAAACTTGTCCAAAAGCACTGTTAGGAGTGATAATATTTTGGATTCCCAAAGATATGTCAGTATGAGTATATATTAATTGTCATACTTTTCTCTGACATTCAACTATCTAAGGCTTATATTATTCGTATTTTTGTAGATGAATGCAAATCAAATGCACATTTATAATACAAACGTAGTATTAAAACTTTAATTAGTTGGCATCTTTATATTTAAATAGAAAACTATTTCCCAAAATAATTTTATCCAGGTGTTTTCTATTAACTTTCAGCTTTGGGGCAAGAAATAGTCTCAACACTTTTACGTCTGCTATTTCAGTCCCTCAAGCTTTCTGAACCACATTGACCTTTTTGTGTCAGTTGCAACCACTCTGTCCTACAAATCAAGTAAGATGCGAAGACATTTAACTAATCAGTTCATATAAATTTGTATTTCAAAATTCAAATTATATGTTGTATACAGTTTACTGAACCAAAACACTCTTTTTGATAAATTTAATGGGAATGGGATGTGCATTAGTAGGGGGAGAGGCCCTCATATCAACTCTTGTAACCACCACTCTAATCAAGGTACAGACCTGTTCCATCTCCACAAAGACCTCCCTCGTGAAACTCTTAGAGTGGGACTACCACCCACACACATGTGGGCTCTGGCCTTAGCAACCTCTAATCTATTTTCATCTTTACAATTTTGTCATTTCAAGAATGTTGCACAAATAAAATCATACAACATGCAACCTTTTGTGATTGGCTTTTTGAAAGGGCGTGAGTACCTTTAAAAATAAGAAACAAATGTGTCAGACACTTTTTCTAAATTTCCCCATTAAAATTCTAAAACAGCCCCCTATATCAACTAGGAATTATGTTTGTATCTAAGTAATGAAAAACAGGAAATTGTGGTTAATAAAGCTAAGAGGCTTTATTTTTCCATGTGATAAAAAGTAGGGAGAGAAGAATTTCAGGACTGAGATGCCATTGGCTTCACATGGAATCTGGGCTCTCTCTGGCCCTATCTCTGCTTTCCCGGCAGTGTGGCTCTCACCTGACATTGCAAGGTATCTGCAGGCACAGCCACATTCTGGGTAGTGAGAAAGACAGAGTCCTGTCCCCGAAGAGGGCTTTCCCAGAAGCCTCACACAACAACGTTCAGTCATATGTCATCGACGAAGATGGTCAACCGGATACTCTTAGCCGAAAGATATCCTAGGAATGTGGACTTTTAGCACATTGATACTGCAAAGAAAACTGGTTATTGGATAAATTAGAAAGCAAGAGAGAATAGATGTTATTACCTAGACAGCTAGCATTGTCTGCCAAAACACTATAAAATACTTTTTACGGGTAAAGAAACTGAGTCCTAGAAAGTTAAGTGACTTATTGAAGGGGATGCAATTAGTAAGGGGTAATTCTGGCTTTGAAATAAAGTCTTTTATAAATTATTTTATTTTTAATTGAGAAGTAATCATTGCATTTATTTATGAGGTTCAATGTGATGTTTCACATATGTATGTATTGTAGAATATTAAATCAAGCTAGTTAACATCTGTCTTCTCACATATCACTTTTTCGTGTGTGTGATGAGAACATTTAAAATCCATTCTTTTAGGAATTTGAAGTAGGCAATACATTATTATTAACTATAGTCAGCATGCTGAGCTGTAGATCTCCAGAATTTATTCCTTCTGCCTTCTGAAACTCTGCACCATTCAGCCAACATCTTCCCTTCCCCATCCCCATCCCACTCCCAGCATCTGGCAACCACCATTCTGCTCTCTACTTCTATGAATTTGACTTTTTTAGATTCCACATATAAGTGAGATCATGCAGTATTTGCCTTCCTGTGCCTGGCTTATTGGAAAGCCAGTTCTTTCTAATTCCTGCCCATACTTTTAATTACTATGCTGCATGGACTTACATGATGTCTGGTGGATTTCCACTGAGATGGGGTCTGGATTGGAAAGCAGCAACTGGAGAGTGAAGGGCCAGCCTCCAGGTCCAGGAGAGCTTCTTGGGGCTTCATCCTCATAAAGCAGAACAGAATGCAAAAGGCATAGAAAGTGGGAAAAGTGCACGCTAATCTTCAAGATCAGCCTAGATGAGGTAATACACAAGTTACTGCTCTGGGTAAGCATAATTTTCATTTTACCTCTCTTTTTGTTTCCTTTTGGGGTGAACACAGCCTGGAACTACTGTGTGCTCCAAAATTCCTTTACCGACTAGTGAATAATGTCTTTTATTCTTCGGAATAGAAGCTCACAGGAACACATTCTGCTTGCATCAGGGCAAAAGATATAAAATATTGACAGGGAAGGTACGCTGGGAGAATTAAGTACTATTACCTGCAGGATAACACATTGCTTTGAATGAATATGAGGCAGTGATTCATTGGCGGGACTCTAGGGCCCTTATCATTCATGGGAGCTTGGATTGAGTGTTTTATGTATGACATTTGGACCAGGAGGCAAATTCTACAGAAAAACAATCTTCTAGTAATATATCTAAACTGCACAGGAACTTCAGCCACTTAAAATTTAAAATATCCTGTACTGAGCATTGGAGAGGGCTTTATTCCTCTTGACTCACACAAAAGGGATTTGGAATATCCATTTACTCAAAAATTATACTTTAGACATTTTCTCTATTTGAAAGAATATGCCTCTTTCTATTTGCTTTTATTGTGATAGATTTATTTTTTAAAACAATTTATATTCTATAAAAAATTTAGAGAGGGAAACCTATTTATTCTTATGATTGTTAGACAAATGTTAAAAATACTATACACAACCACTTTCTATTAATATAAGTTAACACCAACTTGCCACTTTCAATTTCTAAAGTGAGAATATAGGGGTTTTTTTGTTTTGTTTTGTTTTTAAATATGAGTTGGCAATTAAGCATTTTGATGGCTGTTTGAAGCTAGATATACCCAGCTTACTGATTGCTTGATCTGGGTAAATTATTTAAGCTTCACGAAATATTTGCTTATACTAGAGAAGGATCCATTCTACTAGAGCTGAAGAATTGTTATGAGGCTTCAAAACAATGTATGAAATGACATATAAGTGTAGGTGCCCAAGCTGCTCTATTATGGAGACCAAGTTATAACATTTTCTAATGGAGGTTCTGGTGACCTGGGGCATGACTGATTTAATCCATGAGTTAACTTAGTGGTAAGCAGCCGAGTTCCTATTAGAAATTCTTGTAGTATGTTGTGCCCATTCATTTCTTGTAAATGTACTTTCCCACATATAGGTGTTAAAATCTGAATGGGTCATAGGAAGCTGAGTAAATAGAGCAGCATTTAATTCTATTGATTGCTGTCATGATGAGATTGATAGAATGTCAGTAAAGAGGCTTTGCAGATACAATGACACCCTGGTGACAAGCTTATCCCTCTGCTGCCTGAACTGTCAAGAAAAGCAATAGTTTCCACCAGTATTTTCAGAGTAAAATCAATGGCATGATACTGCATTTCTTATCACAGAGGATAGCTCTCCATGTCCTGCTGTCAGTTATAATATAGCCTGCTTGTAAATTTTTGTGAACTCAGTGCCTGGGATATTACTATGATTACCTTGAAATTAAATCCACCAAAGAATTTTGATCCTTATCCTGCTTCCCAGAGTGCTTTTGAAATACTGCCCTTCTCACTGGAAATGCTAATTCCTTTTTAACCTGGTCTACTGCTTTGAAATTTCCTGAGTGCTTTTAAGGACACTCAAAATAAACTGATGCTATCTTGACTAAGAAAGGTCAAGTCCTGAATGTGTTCTAGCTGGCCGTGTCTCAGGCAGACTGGAAAACCCTGCTAAACGAGGGACTTCAGACTTACTGTACACAGCTCACAATTTTGATGTGTGTGGTGTAGTAAATTTGGGCTTGAAAAATGAGGTATCACTTTAGTTAGCTTTTCAGATGGAGTTCTAACAGCATTGGACCAAAGACTGGTGGTCAATTTGATGTCTCACACGTTGCCTTTTCCTCTGGGGGCACCCAGAGAGTACAAAGCGTGCTTCTCAGTGACTTTTTGTATAAGTGATACCAAGTTTACTATTTTTTTAATGCCACCAAAAATTGTCTCATAAACATGGTGATATTAAAATAAAATGGGAGTTTTAAAGGTCATATGAAAT